ACTGGACGTCTGTGCCAGAGTGTGCCTTATTACGTCTTACAGTGTGATACATTAATGCATGAGTAAGGCTTGGTTCAAACCAATCAGCGCGCTCTATTTTGCAACTTCATTAATATTCATTAGTGTCACTGTTTACACCAGAGACGCCACGTTGTGTTGGCAAAACAAGCGTGGAGTGTTGCTTTTATAGTTTGCTGCAGTTAAGTTTCGTTTTCATTTTCTCTCTGTGAGAACTCAGAGTCACGTGTGGATTAACAGTGTACGCGACGCTCGACAACAATAACTTACGTGTCTAAGGAGGATTATTGTTTACCTGAGAGCTGTTCTCATCTGCAAACGCTGAAATCCAGATTTGCTTGTAGTCTTCTCTTCATAAAGACGCGGCTCTAGTTGCTGGTGATTGTCCTGTCTCTACAGATTTGGTAAGTGAGCGACCAGTGCTCTTTGTTTATTCAGTTTGTTCGTATCGAATTAAGTTAACTATTGCACTGAGTGCAAACTTGTTAGCACCGCATTTAGTGACCGGAATAACACACGCGGCTTTCTGACGCTACCTGCTGAGTGCATCTAAGTTTCCGGGAATTGCGGAGCTTTTTTTCCTCTCATTCGCCGTGCGGTATCAAACATTGCATGAAAAATACACGCTTAGAGCAGATCCTCGAATCAAATATCGCGTTTTTCGCGAGGGGCATGAATGAATTCCCTGAATGAAAGAGTCAAACTGCAGTTAAAGTCCAACATTTAATAATCTGGCAAAAAATTCAACTACAGATGTCCATGTAGGTTAAACACAATGACTGTAAAAAATACACCATCACTTTCTCGTGTGTGTATTTTGACTGAAACTCGCGCGTGCCCAAATAGACACTCCCACACCATCCCACTTTAGTTCCTCCGACACTCCCCCCTAAACAGAGCTGGACACGCCCGCTTTTCTGACTTTTTCCAAAGTAGAGGTGTGAAAACACCCTGCTGAAACGAGGGGGTTTCATGGCCCTTTAAACCTGGAAGCATTAACAACTATATATCCTTATCCTTCAATATGGAAAAATTATATATATATATATATATATATATATATATTTTTTTTTTTTTTTTTTTCTTTTTTTGGAGGAGCTATATTTTTTTTGCAATTTTTGTTTTTCGCAAATCCACCAGAGGCTGCTGTATGTGCTATTTGAGATCTCGAATTTGTCTCGCGTAAATCCACCAGAGGCCACTGTTGACTGACTGACTGACTGATCGACTGACCAACCCTCCTCCTTCTGTAAACCCAACCAATAGTGTTTTCAAAAGCACCAGTTGACCTATCCAGCCACTTCCCTGAACCCAACTGACAGTTTTAAAAATCATTACAGAAAAAGAAAAGCCCTCGCCAAATTTTTATCGCGTTTTCAGATTTTACCACATTCTCACCCTGTTTTTTACTTGTTTATTTTATTTTTTGGACTCTGTTTTTGTCTCTTTTTGTCACTTTCTAGAACTACTTATCACCAGACTCAAACCTAGTCATCGTGGTCAACTCTTTGCATTTCAAGTTGGCCGACATGGCAAGCTAATGGACAAACTGGAAACAGTGGGAAAGGCATTTATACGGAGGTAGGCGTGAAAAAATAAAACGCCTTAACACCCCCTTTTATGGTCTTCTATTGTGTAGCTGACCTTCCACTTTCTCCCGACCCCGGAAGTAAGGTTTTGGAAGCTCGACAGAGGGCAGAACAGAGCAGCGCCTCCTTGTGGCACTTTGAGAAAATGGGAGAGCATTTTATTCGCCACAGTGTCATACCACCCCGTACTATTCGTTGTAAAGATGAAAAGCAGCCATATGTATCTCTGACTACATAATTCGCGACCTCCAGAAATGTAAAGGATACGTTTACAGAATGAACCTACGTTGGTTTTACACTTGGTATAAAAATAGTAACATAAAAGACCTTCTGGACAAAAATGTCCTCAAAGCAAATTATTAAAATTATAATAATCACTCATAAAAATGCTCCTTGTTCAAACTACTTAATTAAAATGAGCTGAAACAACACTATTCTTCATTTTTTTGGGACAACTTATTTGTTTATGCTTAATCCACTTAAACTTAATTGATTTGTGTTGGGACAACATGAATGAATTGTGTAGAATTTTTACAGTGTTTTTACCCAGAACCATTTAATCATAAAAAGCATGCATTCACTCATTCATTATCCTTCGGTTTAGTCCCTTTATTCATCAGGGGTCACCACAGCTAAATAAACTGCCTTACCTAGCATATGTTTTCACACAGCAGAATCCCTTCCACCTGCAACCCAGTATTAGAAAACATCCATACACACTCATTCACACACACTACGAGCAATTTAGTTTGTTCAATTCACCTATAGTGCATGTCTTTAGACTGCAGAAGAAACCTGAGCACCCGGAGGAAACCCACGCGAACACAGAGAGAACATGCAAACTCCACACAGAAATGACAACTGACCCAGCCGGGACTCAAACCAGCGACCTTCTTGCTGTGAGGTGACAGTGCTAACCACTGAGCCACCTTGTCGCCCCATAAAAAGCATGCAAATTTTGTTAATAAGCTTTAATTTTCTAAAAATGTGAGTTTTTCTTTTACTATAGTGACCATTTTTCAGGTTTTAAGGAAATATATAGGCATGTAAAGCAAATGCTTTTTCCCGTTTTCTGCTTCTAAGCTCTGCACACCAGTTGATATTAATGATGCAGTTATATCTATGTGGGTGTAGATATCAGAATGTGTTTTGTACCTGTGTGAGGTGGATTTTCTTTCATAGAAAAACAAGAGGCATTATATAAATGAACTGGAATTTAAAGGGTTAAAATCTTTAAAGCTATTGAATTTTAATCTGGCTGGATGCTGTAAAAGAAATCTGTTGGCGAGGGAAAATAAATCACCGTTTTACCATTTATTTTATGAATCTAATTGATTTCATCCCTTGACTGGAATATAGGGCTTATTGTAATGAAGGTGTTATTCAAAATATTTGTGATATTTTCTCTGAAATGCCAAAAATTTCAATTGTCAAAGTCTGAATCAGCTGTAAATTTGCCTTCATGTGTTTTCAGACTTCAAGCGGAGCGGAATAACTATGCTTGCTATTTTAATGCAGCATGATATATCTGTTGCAATATCTCTATTCAGTCCACTGCATTACTTTCCTCAAAATTTTTTCTTTAGTTTTCTTAATTCTCACTTTAACAACATGAATAAACATACTGACCATTTGTGTTCTTTTCTCCAAATTTATGATATATCCCATAGATAATTCATTGGAATCCACCGGGAAACCTTACGTATCCTTTCAGAATTTTCACATGAATGTATTATGGTTTCGAATGCATTCAAATACAATTTGTTATGTTAAATTACAGAAATTATTTTGAAATATTATGACTCAATGTTTTCGTTTAAGAACATTTCAATTTACAATGTTGCATAATAACATAAACTATCTATACTTCAACTTTTTCATTAAATAATGATGTTTCAAAGATATTAAAGATTTTACATTTCCTGTCACTTTTTGAGACTGAAGGAGAGTAGTGAAAGTAAGAAATGAGTCAACAAGAGCCTCACTATATCCAGTTTATGTAAATACAATGCTAAACATAATTGAGTACACCCCATTTTGAAAATTACTATTTTTATCCATTTCTCAGTGAATTTATTTTGGTGCATTTACACAAAACAGATTTATTAAACAGATATATTTATTAAAATAATATTTTAGTCACAGAACATCTTTAGAAATTGAAAGATAATACAATTCAATTCAAGTAAAATATTTATTTTTAATTACAACCTACAAAATTTCAACTAAATTGTTTAATTTTTTTGGTTTATCTTGATTTTTTCCTTTTTACAATTTGTATTTAATATTTTTCTATTACATATACATTTGGCTGTACTAGTTTTTGGACCGTTATCATAAGTTATTTTGTTAGATAAGCTCCAGATTTGGTTTCAGTACTGTGAGTAATCTAATGTATATGCATTATGCACAAATATAAAATTGTATAGCTTCCTATTAAAAAGAAGAGTTTAAAAGAGATTTGTGAGCACGTATATGCTGAGCATTATATATATATATATATATATATATATATATATATATATATATATATATATATATATATATATATATATATATAATTTTGTTTGTTTGGTTTTGTTTTTAAAGCTGAAGAGTCACAAATTGTTTACAATGGGTTTTATGTTAGTTACTCTCATATGGGGGCACTATAGGAAAATAGGAAAATAGGAAAAATTCTAAATCACGTGATGCACTCCTATTAAAATGACTGGATTTATCGCGCGGAATTTTGGCTAAATCTAATCCGTGATATCCTAGATTGACCAATCAGGATCTATCCGAAGTAGCTAGATCACTTTATCCACGCAATAACGAGATTGGATTACCTAAAATGTGTGATTTTATCAGATTGTGTTACTGATTTCAGGACTTGCCGTGCGAGGTACATTTCAGAAGTAATTGACAATGTAAATGAATGGAAAGAAAATCTCACACGTAGTTAAATGAATATCACAATAGCTAATTTTCAATAACAGATTCAGAATGTTGGTGTTATACTAACTAAAACACCTGTTACTGTTAAAAATGTTATAGAAAATGAGGTACCATTTGAATGCATAATTATGATAACTGTATCTAGCTCTTATTTTCCACGAAAAAACATATTGGTGGCAGAATAGCACATGTATTCAGCTACAAGCAGCAAGAACTCGAAAATAAGTTTTCATTTATGTCATTAACTCTTGCTTCAGCATCAAATACTTGCTCTTTTAATACATTCAGAGACTTTACAAAAACACACTTCGGTTAATATTTCACAAAATCTGAAAATATCTCGCACATCATTCAATTTTTATTCTTTAATGTTGAAGAATCCTTTGCTCCACAGGCAGTTTCTGGCATATTTTTGCTCGGCGTTTGTGCGGCTGATGTGTGAAGTGCTCATCATACCTGCAGCCTTCAGAAGTGTTGTCTGTCCGTGTAAAGCCCGAGTCTGTTGCTCTTTATCCCGTGGATGTGTGTGGAAGACTCAAGTCAGATTCTCCCAGACTGACTCCTGCTACTGTTACCTCAGAGCGCGAGAATGAGAAAGCGACTGTAATTTCACGCGCGCTCACCCGAGTCACAGGAGCACGACTGTGTGTGTGTGCGCGCGCGCGTGCGTGCGTATGAGCGCGTGAGAGACAGGCACCTTTGTGTTCAAGATGCAGATTGTGTAATGAAGATGACTATTGTGCAGTTGTGTAGATAAGCATACTCTTGCACTTTTAATGTTACGGGTAATATACATCCCTGTTATAGGCTATTATGAATTATGAGGGATTATTAATTGAAATCATGGCAAACAGTCCATTTTAAAGTAAATATAGACATCTTTTGAGATTTACTTACTTAAATTTAAGAGTGATTTATTCTTAGCAATGCATTGTTAATTAAACAGAATGTAAATTGTTAATAAAGTCATGGTAATCATGTTACCAGAGGTGTAAGCAAAGTGAATAATTATTTAAGAAATATACAGGTGCTAGGATCTAAATTAGCTGTCTTTAATTCCAGAAAAAAAGCACAAACAAAGCTATTTTAAGAAAGTACTCTGCAATTTGGTGTAATGTTTAATTTGCATAGATTGGGTAAGCATATTTGTATTTTCACATAGGTCATTTGCATTAGGTTTAGGTATAACTTGTAGTAAAGTGTGTTCTACATACAAAATTAAATTGTTTATAACTGGAAGTGTATATTGATTGTTTTAAAGCTGTTATGATGTACTGCATGTACTATACAATGTAATATAATTATGATTACTTGTTTAAAAGAGTTTTAATTCCTAAAATTGTATAATAAAAACAATCTTATATAGCCTAACAATGTTTTTTGCCTGTAATGCTGACTTTTTTTTGTATTTTGTTTTTTGTATTTTTGTACGGAGGTGCAGCATGATCGCCTCACAGAAAAAAGGTTGCTGGTTTGAGCCCCGGCTGGGTCAGTTGGTTTCCAGTTTCCCCATAAACATGAGGTACAGGTAATAAAGGTACTAAGCTGAAAAGAAAATAAAGGAATGAATATATATATATATATATATATATATATATATATATATATATATATATATATATATATATATATATATATATATATATATATATATATTGTATTTCTTTTTTGAAAAATATCCTTTAAAAAAGCACAACTTTTTTTTTTCTTTTTCATCAACATATTCCTGTCAGAACAATGAATATTAATTTTGTTTTTGTTTTTTGACTCTCAAAGGTGCTGGTATTGCTGTTCAATTCACTTTATGAATCTCAATGGACCATGTTTTCAGCTAAAAATCTTCAACTGGCTTGAAGGTGAGTAAATTAACATGTTAAATGTTAATTCCTGGTTGATATTTTGTAATCACCAGCAACATCATGAATTTCATAAACACCAGTCTTTCATAATGAACTCCCCCATACCCAAATCATCCTATTGTATAGATCATTTAAAGGTGCAACAGAATGCATTGATATAATATATATATTTTTAATTTCTCTGATGTTGAAAAGAAAGTTATGTGGCTTATAATAAGTGCAAACATTTTCCAGAAAAGGTTATTAAAGGTATATTTTCAAGCCCTATGATTGGACTTAATATGAGATGGGTGTTTCTGACCATATTTGGAAGGTTTGTGATTATTATTGATGAGCTCTGCTCTGAGACCCTGTCAACAGGAACACGGGTATTTTCAAAACCACAATTTTTTTCTATGCAGTTTGTTCACAAAAAAGCATAATCATGTGACTGAAACAAATGGAGTAAATGACTTGTTAAATAGCAGTTTTGATAACTGAATGGTAGAGAAGTGGTCAAGTGGCTTATGTTAAGTAGGAGTGAGTAAGTAACTTTATGCCACCAAAGTAATCTAGTTTACTCCTGAGTTGTGTTATAGATGAAAATTTGGTTAATTACGATTATACTCAACAAAAGAGGCAGACAGAAATGTATTTAGTGCATTTAACATAAAACACAGCCAGGATTTAATATCAACCTATGCATAAGCAAATGAGTTTTTTACATTTATTGTGAAATATACAATAAAAGTTACATATTCAGCAGTCTACATGTGTTTGTTGCCTCATTACAAACACACATTGCAAATATCTTAAGATACATGTTTAACTAACAAAAGATACAGATAAACAGACCTTATGACTCTTCAGGGTGGCAATAAATAAATTTAGCATCCATGTATTCCGTATTGTGCGTTGACTCTTCATGGTCATGCATGGCTGCTTGCTTCACAGAAAGCTACTTTACTTTTTCAAAATAAGAGTCGCACATTGCCTATGTACAGTAAAATTTAAGTTTAGATCAAATAAAAATATTGAAGATTAAGTTGGGGGGATTTCACATTAGGAAATCAATCAAATGCTGCTGAGAAATGCACATAAATGATCCCATGTGGATCTCCACAGTCTTTTGATTGGTCTGTTTTTCACTGGATTTGCATTTTGAACAGGGAAACAATAGTGTTTGACACTAATGGTATGTCATTAGCATGTACTGAAATCTTAATATTCTGCTATGTCTATATCCAGATTTTCATGACACCTTTAAACACAATGTGTTGCTTTATTTTGTGTGGCTGGATGTGTGTTCAGTTGTACTGTTTTATTATATTTTTACCTCTTAGATACGACAGTCAGATATGATCAAATCAGTCGTGAGCGATGTATTTGTCTGAATATTTAAACCTGTCTGGAAGTGACTGCATTTGTGATGTAAAGTCAAGACCTCTGGAGTTCATACACTCACTTAACTATTAGGCCGGTATCTTATGCTAACATTTCTGTTTCACATTACACAGTGTGATGGAACACAGGGCGTGATGGAAAACAGGGCTAGAAGTCAGATGTCGGAGGTTACAGCACCTCGCCTTCCTATTGGCTTAAGCTTGATTATGAGGATGATGATGATGTCACAGCGAGCGTCCAGTGAAAGGAGATGCTGACATTCATATAGAGGCTCTGGGTGATCATCTCGCAGCCCAGGATCCAGCAAAACCCAGACCTCAGCCACTTGGCAGTCGGATTTTTCCAGTGGCTCTGTAACTTGACAAGGAGAGGTATCCATTTTGACACATATACCTCTGTGGATGTTAATTTTTAAACACTAAAGAGTCAGTGTCAGTTCAGCACAGCGATCACGCATTCCTACTTCAAAGAAAATGAAAGATTTGAGTTAAATTACCTACAAATTGCAGTCCAATAGCGAGTACCATTAATATGACAAGAATTGTAGTTAGTTACATAATAATCTGTCGACTTTTTAACTTTTAGACTACTTTTGACATAATCACACAACCTTGAATATCATTTTTTTGTACCATTTTGCTTCGAATGTAGTTCACTTCAGAGTTAAAAATCTGTCATGTTTAAAAACCCACTGCTTGTTCAGGTGTGGAACACAAAAACAGATAATATATCAAATCAAATCAAATCAAATAACTTTTATTGTCACATAATCAGCAGCACGTGTGCTATGATGATTGAAAATCTTAGGTGCTGGCTCCAGACAGTACAAAATACAGACAATGCAAATAAAATGACAGTGAAAAATACTGACAGTACAAAATACAGACAGTGCAAATACAACAGCATACTCAACCCCACCGCCTCGTGTAGATGTCCTGGAGGAAAGCTCACCTCCTACTACGCGTCCAGCAGTTCGCACAATCCCATGTAGGCCTTTGCGATTGCTGCTGGTGCTATTTCCATACCAGGTGGTGATACACCCAGACAGGATGCTCTCCACAGTGCAGGTGTAGAACGAGCGGAGGATGTGGGGGCTCATGAAAAACCTCCAGAGACGCCTGAGGAAGAAGAGGTGTTGTTGTGCCTTCCTCAGCACTGCTTTGATCAAGTGAATTATATAATATAATATAATATAATATAATATAATATAATATAATATAATATAATATAATATAATATAATATAATATAATGTCATATAATATAATATAATATAATATAATATAATATAATATAATATAATATAATATAATATAATATAATATAATATAATATAATATAATATAATGTTTTTTGAAACCCAAGTTACACATAATCCAGCAAATACAAAAAAACAACATTAATACCTGTGAGCCCTGACAATATATTGTTGATGTATTAGGGCTGCACGATATTGTGAAAATCTAACATTACAATATTTTGGTATTCTGCTAAATATATTGCACTACGGATACAATTTCACCTGATGACTTGAAAATTTTTCTTTTGGGGAGAACTGATCATTTAAGAAGGATTGGGATGATTCTTTAGGGCAGTGCATCTTCATAAAAGTCTAACAAATAAACATATTATATAATGTAATTATATATTACATTAATAATAAAGAAAGTGATAGAAATGAAATAAACACTTTTCTATTGTTTTTTGAGGAGTCTAACAGTATTCAGGTACAGTAATTGAATAATCAAATGTAAAATAATACTGCATAGTCTTTGTTGTATAAATAATTCAATGAAATGAATCATTATTAAAGTTAAAAACCGTTCAGTTTATTTTGTTCGTGAATGCTTTTAAAGTCCTTCTACAGTCACAGGTCTCAACACACTATAATAAAGACTCAACATTGCATATCCTGCGATGTGACTATTGCAAATGATCACATTTTGATATAGATGCTGAAACATTATACTGTGCAGTCCTAAATTTTAAGTCAGAATTATTAGCTCCCCTTTGAATTTTTCCCTTTTTAAATCTTTCCCAAATTATGTTTAACAGAGCAAGGAAATGTTCACAGTATGTCTGATAATATTTTTTCTTCTGGAGAAAGTCTTATTTGTTTTATTTCGGCTACAATAAAATCAGATTTTAATAAAAAAAAATGTAAGGTCAAAATTATTAGCCCCTTTAAGCAATTTTTTTCAGATGTCTACAGAACAAACCATCATTATACAATAACTTGCCTAATTACCCTAACCTGCCTAGTTAACCTAGTTAAGCTTTTAAAAGTCAATTTAATCTGTATAGAAGTGTCTTGAAAAATATCAAGTAAAATATTATTTACTGTCATCACGACAAAGATAAAATAAATCAGTTATTAGAGATGAGTTATTAAAACTATTATGTTGA